TCAGACTGTGTTGCTGTGTGAAAGTCAACACTTTGCTGGCTCTGTGTAAAAAAACAAAAGCCGGGTAAGGCATAGCTTATTCCAGGGGTGTTAAACTCAAGTCCTGGAGGGCCGCTGTCCTGCATGTTTTCCAAGTCTCCCTGTTGCAACACACCTGATTCAAATGATCAGATCATCAGCAAGCTCTGCGGAAGCCTGACATTGAACCTGTTCATTTGAATCAGGTGTGTTGCAAAAGGGAGACTTGGAAAACATGCAGGACAGCGGCCCTCCAGGACCTGAGTTTGACACCTATGGCTTATTCAGTAGGATCTCTGTGAAAGAGGTTTCACTGTGTCTGTTTTGGTACTAAATAACCAGCGCTTAGGTCCTGCTTCTGTGTCTTTGCGGGATTATGCAAAAAAAAAAAACACTCGGCACCCGATTCATTTTCAGAGCCGACTTTATCTCACGGCAAATCCAGAAAGTCTACTTTCCATCCGCTGGGGATGATTTAGTTGTTTTGGAAATAATTCCTTGCGCTTGTCTGCCATTCTTGGACTTGCATGTCATGGAAGTGGCTTGATAATGTTTGGAATATGGCTTTGTACTCCTGGAAGACATACGACAGTCATCATTTTGCACACAGACACACACCAGATAAGCCAACAGAAGGCTTAGGACGTCATAGAAAACTCATGATCCAATACAAAAGATGGGTGGAGGGGGGAGAAAAAAAATGAAGCTGAATAAATCTCAGTTTGTGGGTTTTATTTACAATGCAGGCAATAAGTGAATATGAAGAGGAAGAAGGAGCGTCGAGAAGGTGCCCACCGAAACCATCGACACCTTTGTTTTCCCTCATTGGTTCTTAATGGATGTTTCAGTGTCAATCGAACTCTCCTCAAACGTTACGAGCACACTCACAAATACACACACACAAACACACATGCACAAACCGAGTGAAGAGTAAAAAAACTAAAAGCAAAACAAACCATTACGATGACGGGAAGAGTGAAGAGAGCCATATCGGGGGTCCAATAAACCGCTACTCTTTGCGCAATACGCTCGAGATGGTTTCAGTTTGTTGCACTTAAGGAGCTGATTGATTGATGACAAAAGCGAGCAAAAACATCAAAGGCGTATCAGGCTTTGACAAATCTCACAAAATGTGTTTTGGTCTACTTGGATGGTCAACTAAACTAATATTTATCAAACATCAACGGCAAATTACTAGAGTCCTGAACTAACCCGGTATGTTGTTTTTGTGAAGACCGCTTGTAAATGTTGTTGAACATTTTGTCTTTTATATTTTCACTGCACTTGTCAAAGACCAAATGGCCTCTGAAGTTTACGCACCAAAGTTTGTATGTTCCGTATGAGGACGAGAAGCTATTTCATTAAAGTCATATCCATCGGTTTTGCCATTTTTTTTAACGCATAAATTATCTTTGATATTTATGACAACACATCTAGCCCTGACTCTAAATTATATTATTTTATTTACCAAATGTTTTGTGTTCAAGACACGAGGGCAACATTCACACTACGGGGCGTGATGTCCCATTTGAAATTTTTGTTAAATCCGATCTTTTTATATCTGTTTTTAGATACTCGTTCCCTTTACAAAAAACACATGCGACTTCGAATGTGAATGGAATATTTCCGGGACAAAGGCAGCGTTGACAGAAGGAAATATGGTCCGGCGTTTAGGGGCTCATTTTTTTGTTGTTTACAAAAACCTGCACATTGATGACTGTAATTTTTCCTCAAAAAATACCCAAGTTCGATTTTTCAAATACTTCCCAAACTGCTTCATGGACACTAAATGTTTATAAGTCGCTTGGGTTAAATTAATCAAAGACATGGCCCTGTTTTTTTGTGTTTTGTTTTGTTTTTTTTTTGCCAGGTTTTCAGTTTAGTATGTCCCTGAATGTTTTGACCTTCCCATGCGACCATCTCAGTTCCAGTCGTTTCCTTCGCCAACCCACAAACACATCCAATCGTGTGCATGTGTGTATTTCCGCCAGTTTCCCATTAAGTGTGTTTTTATTGATGAATCTGCAGTCATGCGGAACTCTGTTTACCCACGGTGCCATTAGCTCCAGGGGGGGTGCCATGGCAACAGTGTAAGTAGGATAAATGACATCACGGCAGGGGCAGCTGGAGGCTTTTGGGGGGGCTTGTGCACACCTTGGCAAACGCAAGACGGATAGCGGCAAGCTAGCCGAACGATGAAGGAGGCAGAGAAAGAGGAGTGTCATGAAGATGTCGAGAAGGGGCGGATGGATGTGTAGCGGGGCATGGTAGCGGAATGACTTCTCGTGGGAAATTAAAAGTTATTGTATAATTATTTCTATGTGACATCGGTGGCCTGATGTCTCCCTTTACACCTGCAATTAAAGAGACGCCTGTTGTCCTCACGCGCGTCCGCAGTCGGCTTATTTGCGCTGACGGATGACGTCCTGCCTCGACATCTCGCATTAGTCCACAAACTCGCCGTGACTCCCATCAAGTGTTGTGTCATGTTTTACAATTAGCCTCATTTCACACACAATCTGGCACCGGAGGGCTCTTTCTAAGCGAACCTGAATGGCTTAAACAACAAAACATAAATCGTATTTGTCGGAACTCCGTAGATGTCGTTCAACGGGAAATATGTCCCCCTAAATTCGCACAAAACTGAGATTTCAGTGCGGTGAGCATCTCAAGCGATGGTTCTCAAACTTCTCAAAGAAACAACACCGTGACAATCGAGGAGAATCTGGCAAAGTGATTTCAGAGTGCTACAGCAATAGACCAACCAGCGGGATAAGCCTCCCTGTTACTTCCTGTTTGGCTGCTACGCAAGCACAACCAAATAAGAGGAAGCTTGCATCGAGGCGTTGTCATGCTCGATAGCACCACCACGAAAAAAACAATTGCAGCGTGGAAAGGCGGTCAGGCAGGCACGCCATTGAAACAAACAACAAACAAAGCAGACAAACACACATGCGAAATGAAAACACCGAAGGAGCAAGGAACAGATGCTAACGTCACTCGCTTGGCTTTAAAGTGCACATTAACAACCAAATACCGTACAACATTGCGTTTGTACGTGTGTGCGCGTGTGTTTGAGACTTTTGGCTTGTTTGCACATCATAAAATCTGTTTATTTTTTTACATTGTCTTTATTGTTTTATATTTATATTTTACAATACAGAGCTAATTTTCTGTATTGAAAACTTAACCCCCCCCAAGAAATTGTAAATTTTGGGGGGCGCAGGAACGGATTAATGGCATGTCCATTCATTTCAATGTGGACAATTGATTTGGAGTTCACTGTACGTGTGACCTCATTGTAAAAAAGGTCAACTTACTTTTGCCCTTAAAGTTAGTTGTCTTCTGTTTTCCTGTTGTGTGTTTATAATGAGTCTTGAGGCTGAGCCAACTCCATTACCCATCAGTCCTTTCTGCTCCAGCAAGGTTAATGTATGTCAGCACAAAGTCCTCCTTCACCTTGGCGTTCTGCTGTTTACCCACACACACACACACACACACACACACACACACACACACACACACACACACACACACACACACACACACACACACACACACACAATGAGTTAACCGTTCCGAAAGGGATTAGACAGTCATGATGAAGAGGAAAATGTGCAGAGATGTTGCGGGGCGGAAAGTACCGGTAGCATTCGTCAAACACTTGTCACTTGTCAATAAGCTGAGGGGGATGTTGTGCGGCCATGCAGGCTGGCTGGCCGCAGGTGACCCGCCCTTGGACGCAATCGTCGGTCAACAGATTGAAGCGCCATCAATAGAGAGCAGCGGAAATATTTTCACATGGGAACTAAAGGGATGAGAAACCGTCATCACAAACCATTGAAGGAAAAATGGCATGTAAACAAAATTGAAGCATTGTCTACTCAGATATCAATCTCGTCGTAAAACGTTCATGCTTTGATGAGGCGTTGCTAAACTTAAGCATTGTCAGTGTAAGAAGTTGAAATACATTGCTGAAGTGACGTTTTTTAAAATATCAAAATGTGACGAAGCAAAGTAACAGAGATTTGTTTGTTTTTGAGCTTTTTTGATGGAATAAAATCACACTTGTGTCTTACATTGTGTCTGCATATACACACACAACATTCTATCTCTGAGCAAACACCTGAACGTCTCAAATCATTCTTGAAACAACCGGTTTTGTTCCATTTCATTGATTTGATGTGGCACACGTACACGCGCGCGGACGGACATCGGCACAAACACCCGCACAATACACACTATCTCTAAACAAACACCTGAACATCGAAAATCATTTTGAAGTGTCACTTTGCGGTCCATTCCACTGCATTGTGACACAGCAGTGGAATATGCTGACACACACACACACACACACACACACACACACACACACACACACACACACACACACACACACACACACACACGAAATCAATGTCCCAGCAGGTCATGAATGGACTGCGCTCACCTGACCAAAGCTATCAGCCGCCGCCGCTAGCCACACTTGTGTGAGTGTGCTAGCTTGATTAGCGATGTGGCGGCGGCACCACGCTGAGCATGGTAATGGCATCCTCGACTGGGCTGCCGAGCGGTTGTTAGCATGCTAAGGGGAGCGTCACTAATAGAAATCAACAGAGCGTGCAGTGGCGCCCCCTGTTGTGTGTGTGTGTGTGCGTGTGCGTGTGCGTGTGCGTGTGCGTGTGTGTGTGTGTGTGTGTGTGTGTGTGTGAGTGTTGTACACTTCAATCAGTACTTACAAAAGGCTTTAAAATGTCGTGTTCATGCGTTTCAAAGGACAGAGCAAAAAAATTTAATTGGTTCCATTTTCATTGTAAGTCATCTAGGTCCTTGTACTCCGCATTGGTTGAAGTGCGGCACCTGGAATCTTCTTGTTTGTTGAATGTGTTGTATTTATTCTGGTTCCTCCTTCAAAACTGACGATGCAACAATGCTATCAGGTTAATGATTTGAGAGAAACTCAGTCTCTGTGGCTGTTTCAGACCACCTGAGACCGGCAAAGAGGCAAAAAGAGATCCCAGCTGCCACCTGCGCGGTCACAACGGTGCTTCTTCGTGCTCTCGGTGGAGCAGAGTGACAAGGTGGGAGAGTGGAGGAGCAGAGCCAGGTCACCAGGCGAGACATGACCTTTCACAGCTGTGAAGCCAGCCCGCTGAGCAGCCTTCAGGTACATGAACGCACTTCACTGGGGGCGCGGGGGGGGGGGACTGAAGGAGCACCGAATCGTGTTGGGTAGAGTAGTGAGCAAACGCAGCTTCTTCTTCTTCTGTGTTTACATGCAAAAATAGACGTGGTGGGAATTGGGACATAACGTCACATGAGCATTGAAGAAATGCGAAGTAACACTCTTAATGTACCGTGTAACCTGCTATCACTGAAAGGGTTGAAGTCGATACTCATTATAAAAAAACGGTTTAATGTTTATTTTTTTAGGGAATCAAAAAAAAACAAAACAATTCTTACTTCGAGTATATTTGATGGCACAACCAAGTATTTGTCATGATTTCAGTACAGGTCAGTGGTAGTCAATCACTTTTTGTCACCCAGAAGTATCCTGCTGTCTATTGTTTACAAACATTATGAAAAGGTCTACGGACCTTTAAGCCTGGCTAACCCATCCTTCCCCAGCTGTCAGCGCATCGTCTCGTTCTTTTGCCGACATTGAGCCTTTCGTCTGTCAGTCAGCATCTGACACGTAAAGCAGCTCAAGAAGAAAACGAACGGAACGGAAAGTAATCACATGAAATCATATGCAACATATTCAAACATGTTTAAAAAAAAAAAACAACGCTCTCACACTGAAGAAACGGTAGACGATTGTAATGCGTCACTTTGATGAAAGGAAAGTAAAAGTAACTCAAAATGGTAAATTCAAACACCAAACCATCTCATTTCAATCAACAAAAGTTAGCGAGCCAAATGCTAACGTACAATGTGAAACGACCCCGGCGGGCTAATGAAAATTAGCATGCATGTTACCCACCTTTAGCATCGCAAAACTACTCCATAGCAAAAGGATGTGACTCATCATCCTTTTTGGTCGCAATATTCAACGTACCGACGGTAAATAAAGACGCTCCAGAGTACAAAAGCAAAAAGAAAACACTTCTGGATGAGAAGCTTTTCATCTTGAGTAAGCGTTACCGTGTTGCTACAAAACAGTAACTTGAGATGTTGACATTAGACGACACAAAAATTGTTTTTCATCGCCCCAAAATTTATGCCACAAGAAAATACAAAGTAAAATGCCAGATTCACGTTTGGGGCAGTGATTTTCAACAAAAATGTTTCCTCTTCAGTGATTCTCACGGTTAGCAACAACATGATTGAAAGGTGATGTCAAGTTTCGTCGATTTGACTTTCAGAAAAGTCGATTGCCGGAGCTTAGCGTTGCTGTGCGGGCAAACTGTAAGGCCGTATAAAAAGAAAATCAGTCGATGTAACTGTATGTTAGGTTGACAAAAGACTAAATCCTCCTGACAATTTGACGTCATGGGAGAAGCCAAAGCACACATTTCCAAAGAGAGAACATATCTCCAAACGTCCAGCGAGCCGAAGCCGCCTTCGTGCTTGGACGCCTCCGGCTCTCGTTTACCCTCGTTAGTGGAGCTCGCTCTTTAAGCTCAAAGACGCGCGGCAGGTTGGCGGTAAAGAGCGTCCGTTTGTGTCGAGCAGCTCCGGCCTTTGATACGTTCTCTAATGAGCTGTTTGTAGATCGTACGGTGTTCCTCTAGCGGCTACATGTGAACCAATGCACGATCACAGCACTGCTTGATGAACTTTGTGAGTGAGGGCTTCGTGTCCGTCTCATATGAGGCACCAAATCCGCATCGTATATTCGTCAGAACCGTTTTGCTCCTGAGGAACTTCCCATGCGAGCGCATACTAATCTTCGCCCGAAATGCCACATCTTCAGCAGGTACACGGCGACTTGCCCTAATCCAATCTGGGCTCAACTTGAAACCCAAATAAAGTCTTGTAAATGTGCGAGATGAAAGCACACCACAGGTCTCCGCCGCTAAGTCTGTAAGCTTGGATGTGCTCCGCGTTTTTAATGGGATTAAACATCCATGGTGGTTTTTAGAGTCTTCGACTGAGAACGGGAAATGTGTGGGTGTTGAAACTTTTTACTGGTAAAAGTGGAGCGTTGAAAGCAGCTTCAACTGAATTTTGTACTCAGACCAAATGTATCGTTCTGACGATTTACTGTTCTACTAAGTAGGCTTTCAAAAAATATATGTCTTTATTTTAAATCGTTGTTCAAAGTGTTTTCCCCATCCTGGTTCACCATTTGTTTGCATCTTCATAGCATCTCTTTCAAGTTGCAATGATGGAAGCCATTAGCAAAACTAGACAAATATATAAACATCTGACTGACTAAAGAAACAGTCCTGCTGCTAATATAGTTGGGGCTACAAGTATGGGCCAGCACAACTGATTTCGAAAGCCCCCGGCCAGGGCAGATTAGATTGACAGAGCAACACACAGAGGCTAAAATCTAATTGGACATCAAACTCTAATAACCGCATACGCACAGTGAAAGCAGTTTAGCCGAGAGAAACACAACCGAGCGGACAGAAGAGAATGTTGGGAACTAGCTCAGTTTCGTTTCACAAATGTAATTTACAAGGCAGGTCAGTGGTACTGATTGTGTTCAAGCAAGCGAAGAAAGCTTTGCTGGACCAACTGCCACCCACTATTGGTTGTTCTTTTTTCATGAAGCCATCTTCTTTTTCCACTCACACACAAGGTCAAAAGTGTCCTGGGATGGGAAGCGTTTGTTCTCCGCACGGCGTCCACATTGCATGTATGCCGCGCATTGCGCATTCCAATGCCCAGCGGCCGACGAATGAGCGGATTAATAATTGACATCCTGCACGAGGAATCGCTAATGAGCTCGGCTACCCTCTGTGGAAAATAAACAATCTATTTATTAAATGACACGGGACACGATGAAGGTTATTATGCTGCGACACGCGCCTGTAATGAGCTTCCTGTTTTGAATGTTAAAGCGCGCCGGTGTGGGTTGAACGACACAGATGGATGCGTAATGGCCGGTCAACTTGTACCCGGTTAGACAAAATACCGACTGGTTGTGTGATTGATCGTGCTCCGCTTTGCTGTGCAGATGGAACATATTCACAGACCTTGTTTTTCCACATTTTATGATGTCACAGTAGTGATTCGCAAAAAGTTTTACATCAAGAACAACCGAAGAAGAAGACGTTGACTTAAGCATTCATAAAAATATATTTGGTGGTTAACGACCACCGACTCACTTATTTGTGATAGGTTTTGGGCTGTTAAATCAGCAAGGTCTTGTCTACATCGGAATTGGTGTCAAGGAAGTACGTTGATGTGATACATATGTACTGAGCGACAAGCTTTGTAAGTCGGGGAGAAGCGAGGTTTAGCATGGGTTGTTCCGGAGAGTCTTTGCCATCATTTCAAAATTCAGTGTGCAAGCCATTCATTCTTAAGGGTAAAGTGAATTTTAAATTCGATCATTTCAAAATTAGATCAATTAGATTGGTGTATACAGTATTTCGACTTTATCGTATTTAATCCATGCAATTATATATATTTTTTGTGCATCGGTTGCTGACCGTTTTTCGCTATTTGTCCGTAATGTGATGGTTCGCCTCAAAATTCGTCAGCCAAACCACCATAATGATATATACTTTTTTTTTTCATTTTTGCAAATTAATTAAAAACAAATAATACAAATAAAAACACATGCACATAAGCAGCCTGAGCAGAGCCCAGATTTGAGTCCAATTGAAGATCCTTGGAGCAAAACTGACAACAGATCAGTATGACGAGTGGTGACATCTGGTACAGGCCAAGGCATCACACCCTACCCCCCAAAAAATGCTCTGGGAAATGTTTTTTTTTGGGGGGGGGGCATCATAACATGTAAATCATTGGCATTTGTATGGTGATTTTGCACCCACCCACGGAGTCACCCTCTGTTAAAGAGTTGCACAAAGGAGCGCCTGACGGAGGTCATTTATGGTGAATGCATTTTTATTTTTCATCATAAACCTTAAGCGGAAAAAGGAAAAAAAACAATCAAATGGGCAATTAAAATGAGTGATGGATGCATGTGTGCATGAACATGGCAAAGGGGGTCTTGCACAGATTGCTAATGATCCCAGGACAGATGCATCTGCAACGCTTTGAGCAAAGAATGTAAATACTACATGTGATTATTTCTCCCCCTCAAAAAAATTCTACGTATGTTGTGTAGAGGAAAATGGATGGTTGTACTTATAACGTATTCCACGTATGCAGAAGGGTGTGACATGACAAAATGTGGCAGACGCAAACGCAGCTGTGTTCCTCTCAAAGACTCAAGGTCGCCTCAATGACACCAGCGGCCGGTAAACAACATCCAGGCACTTTCATCTACACCAGCGGTCCCCAACCGCCGGTCCGCGGACCGGTACCGGTCCGCAGGGCATTTGGTACCGGGCCGCACAGAAATAACTTGCCTTATTTCCGTTTTATTTATTTCGGAATACGAAAGATGTTTTATTTTGAAAAATTACCGGATTCTCTGTTACATCCGTCTGTGTCACGCTTGACTCACGTCAAACTACACTTCTCGGTCACGTGACCGACGACGCTCAAAAACAAAATGCTGAAGCCCGCAAAATGAGTAAAAAAGCTGCTTGGAGATCGCAAATGACGGCGGCCTTAAAAGTTACGTTCGAAACAACTGGATCAAAGTTATGTCTGAATACTCTGAGATCGCCACAATAGCACTGTTGCTATTTCCGACATCCTACCTGTGTGAGGTGGGGAGTTTCTGCAGCAACAGCGACTAAAACAAAATTACGAAGTAGACCGGACATAAACCACACACTTGAGGTGTCATTGTCTCCTATTACTCCGAGATGGGACTGTCTGATTGCAGAAAATCAAGCTCGGGGCTGTGGTGAGTCGTCATTTTCATGCACTTTGAATTTGCGTTGTATCGTATTTTGAAGGCATTAAACATTACCAGAGCAATAAGAGTGTTGCGACCAGATTAGACGCTCCTTGTGTTTATTATTATATTTCGAAAACACCACAGTTTTCATGCAGCTCATACCATATTATTTTGTTGTATTAATCCGCCACACCTTAAATGCCGGTCCCTGAAAATATTGTCTGACTTAAACCGGTCCGTGGGGCAAAAAAGGTTGGGGACCCCTGATCTACACTACGCAAAGATCACTTGTGTGCCGTTGTTGGACACCAAAGGGGAGGGAAGGTCTTGAAATGAATAGCTATGTTTTGTTTTTTTAACTTTGGGGGCTTTCATCAGCGTGTCGGATGATGGATGCAAACCACATG